CCGCTTAAGCTAGATGTATAGCTTAAGTAACAGCTTAAGCTCAATATTGACTTTCCCCACTCTTTGAATGAGGCTTAAGCCGAAGAACATTTTAAAGCCACCTGTACAGTAGGTTTAACTCAAGGCTTAATTTAAGCTCAGCATGGAAGAAGAAGAACAGCTGGTGTGTTTGTGTTTTACAATAATATAACCCTAAAATTGTTTCTTGTCAAATAGATTTTTATTCTCAATAACTAGTAGATTCTGTTTGAAATTTAATTATTACGCTATAATGAAAGAAATATTGGAAGTTATAGGTGAAGTTGAAGATGAAGATTTTTATGCCATTTTACCGAGAAATAGGGGCCCAACTATTTTCAGGCTTAGAACTGACCATTTTGAAAAGTGGGAAGAACTGGATTTCTTTGACAGATTTCGAATTCACAAAAGAACAGCCAATATTATTATTGAAATGATACAAAATAGAATATCTTCACGTACGGACAAAAACCGTGCATTGTCTCCAGCAGTGAAAGTGTTAACAACTTTACGTTTTTTTGCATCAGGGACATTCTTAATTAACATAGCCGAGTTAGGTGGCATTCACTACTCAACAGCCAGTAAAGTGGTTAAGCAAGTGTCCATTGCTCTAGCTGAGCTCTGTCCTCAGGTAATCAAAATGCCAGTTGAGCATGAGGAAATACAGAAAGTTTCAAGTGGATTTTATGAGAAGGCTCGATTTCCTAAATGTGTAGGGGCATTGGACTGCACACACATAAAAATTCAGTCACCTGGTGGTGAAAATGCCGAATTATATAGAAATCGGAAAGGCATTTTTACAATGAATGTACAGGGAATTTGTGACTCTTCATTGTCCTTGCGGAACATTGTTGCTAGGTGGCCCGGGTCAACTCACGACTCACATATTTTTAACTCTTCTAAAGTAAAGAAAGACTTGGAAAGCAATGTTTATGGGAACCATGTTTTGGTAGGTGACAGTGGTTATGGTTGCACAAATTTTTTGATAACCCCATTAGAGGTAGTGAATACTCCAGAGGAAAGATTATTCCAAGAGTCACAAGTAAGGACGAGGAATCCCATAGAACGTTGCTTTGGCGTTTTGAAAAGAAGGTTTCCTGCTTTGGCCCTAGGAATTCGACTCAAGATAGATAGAGTTGAAAGTATCATTGTTGCTTGTGCTGTTCTGCATAATATTTGCATACAAGAACGAGAAGATGTCCCCGAAGTCAATGAAGAAGCCATGAATGCCATTGAAGCTCTCGAAGCAGTTGTGTTTCACCAACTACCTCAAGGACAACCACAGAACAGAAGACTTACCGTTCGAGACACAAATCTTATAACTCGGAATAATTTGATTTCAGGTTATTTCAGGGGTCTTCTCTAAAATATTGACTTTTTGTTGGATGAGATGAAATTAGTGACAACCTGAAACCTGAGGGCTACTGATGGTCGGCACGTGTAGCTCCCTTGGCTACAGATTGAATTTATCTTGCTCCTTCAGTGGAGAGGCGGCAATTGCAAGACCTACTAGTAATATTGTGTATTGGGGCAGTTGAAGGCGTCCCTCCAAACGGCAATAATTCCTATCGGGTGATCAGTCCGATTTCCCCTTGTTTTAAACATTACTAGCAACGTTACAAAATTGCCCTTGTTTAAGGCTATGTAGCGCTACTATATTTTGTGTTTAGTTCTGAAACTGTTTTAAATATAATATTTTATATCAAAAGTCTTCCTTAATAAATATGTTGTTATAATAATTAATTGTGTTGCCTATAACTTTTTGTCATAGTTATTATGAAATATATTACATATGAAATGTGTGGACTGAAAAAGAGAACAAATCAGCTTTAGTTTTGAATATAAATTGTATTTACCAGATAACTTAGGCTAAACAAAGACTGCGAAAGACAACTACTAAAATTAGCCTAAAGATATTTATACTGTGCTTTAAACATAATTACGTGAACAAGACAAATGAATTTAACACCTATTAAGCCTAAGCAGGTTGTTTTGGGACTACACTGAACTTGAAAACTTGTTTAAGGCCAATTCTTCTTTCTTGATTTGCAAATCCAGTAAGTTAATTTTTTTTATGTTCCTCCCTCATACACTTTGTTCGCAGTTCATGTTCCTGCTCTTGAAAACGCATTTGTTGTTCCAGACACTTCTTTTGTAGCTCGATAAGCTCTTGCTTAGCTATGGTGAGCAAATCAATCTTCTTACCCGCTACAGTATTGTCTAGTGGATGAGCCGCCTTTTTCTTTCGAAATGCAATAGTTGACGATGTTTTGGTCCGCAAGTTTTTGATGGAAAATGTTTGATCAAAGCCAGTTTCCTCAGAAGGTGTTTGTTTTGGAGTTGTTTTGACTAGGCCAATGCTTTTATTGTCATTAGATGGTGAACATTTTAACAGACTTCTATCAATCTTGAGCTTGCCACAGCTTGTACCAGGCCTACTAGAGTCTAGGCATACAACATTGCTCTGGCTATCTGCAGGAAGGCTGCCAGTGCCAATGACTGTTGTCTGCAAGTATTCTGATGTATTCTGATGTAAGTCGTCTTCATATAGGACTGGTAAGTTTAGGACATCAAAGTCTTCTTCATCCTGAACTTCTAATCCAGCATCAGAGTCAAAAGATGACTTTTTTCCATGTATGGCTACCTCGCCAACTATGTCCCTAATACGGAAATCTATATCTGTCACCTCAGATACCTGGCTGGGACCACCACCAGTCCCCAAAACATACTTCTTCTCGTCAGCAAACTTACGTTTAGCATTTTTCTTCAAATTTTCATATTTCTTCTTCAGAGTTTTTGTGTCCCTATAGAAAATTCCACTGTTCATGTTGAAGTCTTTCTCAATTTCTCTCCAGGCAGCTTCTTTTTCTTTAAATGTAATACTGTCTGTCTTTTTATTTTCTAATACACCTTTCTTCATATCCACCAAACTCAATAACAGATCCACCTCACTATCTTTGAAGTTTTTACTTCTTTTCATGTCTTTAGATTCTTCCATCACTTCAGATTCTTCTACTAAACTAAAAAAAACTTAAAAAAAGATAACCAAGATGAATTACTAATGAAATATTAAATTGAGCTTTAATAATGTAGTGAAACCTCGGCAGAAGTTATAACACTATCTTTATATCCTAACCTCTCATTTAATATTTAATACAACATAAACATAACTTTTGACAGCTGATTTAATGCAATCCACAAGAAAACAAAACAAACAGGGTAGCCAACCAAGACAAACCGGCGCTTAAACTAAACCTTTTATCCGTGGACATGGAGAAAACGAACTAAGGCTTAAGCTCAAGCTTAATTTTAAACTAGCTCAAGTTAAGCGTGATTTGGGGAAAGCGGGCCTTGGTCGCTCTTGTCCTGTGGTACTTCTCAAGAAGGATTTCACTCTTCTAAGAGTTGAAAACGAACGCTCACATGTCGCAGTTGTGACAGGAATAGTGGCACCAATTTTCAAAATCTTGTGCAGAAATGGAAATATGTGCTTGTCACATTAATTCAAGCTCGATATAAAATATTTTGGTTTCTTGCTCTCACATTCTAACCATTTTCTCCTCCACGTGATCAACTCTGCATGAAAACTTCCACTGTAACCTTCTGTTTCGTTAGGCCAAAACTCTGTTATTTTATCTAATATGTCTTGAATTTCGTTATCACCAAGAGAGCAACAGTGATGTGGGAGAAGAAACTGTAGGGACTCCAACAACCTTCGCCGGTTGAGAAATCGTACATCAAGCTGTTGCAAAAAATAGTCCAAAAAGGGAATGAAGACTGAATATAGATACGGTAGTAAGTTTCTGGTTCATCTGATGAGTAGTTATCTCTGTGGGTTTGTCTTATCCAAATACAAAACATGATTCAGTATTTGTTTATTTTATTTTTTTACAATGTTTTCACTTGTAAACTAAAATAATCATTTAACGATGAGTATTTCCAAAGTTATTCCTATCATGCGCCTCATAAATTCGAGCTTCAGTACTGATGGTTAGTCTCTCCACAAAAGGCTGCCGATTAAAAAAAACGAAACAATGTCCGCCTGCACCCATGCGTTTGGTGGGTTTTTCGTTCGAAAGTATGGATTGGAAGTTTGGCGAAAACTTGTTTTTGCTTCCCGTGAAAGTCTTCTGAAACTTATTTGCTGTAAGTTTGTAGAAACTATGCCTGTTGCCGCATAGCGCTACACGAACAAGTGCGGAGCCATCGTGAACTATTTGAAGAGTTTCACTTTTATCCCGCACCTGGTCGTAGCGCTAGGCGGCAACAGGCAACGTTTCTGCAAACTTACAGCAAATAAGCTTCAGAAGACTTTCACGGGAAGCAAAAACAAGTTTTCGCCAAACTTCCTATGCATACTTTCAATAACGAACGAAAAACACACCAAACCCATGTTTACAGAAAGCTTGCATGCTATCTGGGTTGTGATTGAATTGTTTGATTATTAGCCACAGTGACTTTAAGACTTTTCTCTAATTTAAGATCTACAAAATTCTCTTTCCTGGGAGTCATATGAGCAGAGTCGACAACCCAATTTTTCTTATCACAACTTACAGATAAGACAGTTAACAGAGATTCACTTTTATTTCTGTCCACATTTTGACTTTCACTTCTTTTTGTAGGCCTATCAACTTTATTCTTATTGAGAGAATAGCAGTTCTTTTAAATATGTCCAAACTTGCCACAGGCAAAACATTTTGGTCCGCTTTGATTCGTGGGTTTACTATTCATAGTAGCCAATTCATTAGGCTTAGGCCTATATCCATAATTTCTTTTGAACTTAGTCTTGGCAGCAAGAGCTGTTGTCGCTTCTGCACATCCTTCTCGAACAGCCTGTTCTCCACTATACACAGCCTCTCACAGAGATTCTTTAAATTTCTCTGATCTTTAGGCATTGATTCCCAAGCGTTTAAAAACTCAAAGTAATCATTAGGCAGAGTATTAAGTATTCTGTTCAAAAAGAGTGATTCAGGCAATTTTACCTAGTCTTCTTTCCAGGTTTCATCTTGCAATTCCGTCCACAGTTTATCGAGTTTTGATATGTGTTTAGCAACACTGTCATTACTGTCCTTCATTTTTATACAAAAAAACTCATTAAACAATCTTTCCTGGCGTTGTTCTGTCTGTTGTACAAAAACACTGTGTAGTTTGTCCCACATGTCCTTCGCTGAAGTGCACATGTTTATAAGCTGCCTCACCTGGCTACTTATTGAGCTTACGATAAGGTTTTGAGCTACAAACTCACTTTTGTTTAAGGCTAGCACTGTCTTCTCGTATTCTTTATGAACTTTTTCACTTTCCGTATCAGGAGGTTTCTCCGGGAGTTCAAACTTATTTTCAACTGCATTCATGACATTGTTCACTTGTAACTGAATTTTAATCTGAAATTTCCAATCAGTCCAATTGTGCTGTCCATCCAATTTATCAATAATAGATTTCATTGGATCCATTGTGAGTATATAATTTCACAATTTTAATTCCAAAAACGAACTTACTGGCACTGTCAAGCAATTTAACTGCATAACCTCAACCTCACTTCAGTTCAAGCAATGTGACTGCATAACCTCACTTTTTGACTATGGGTTATTCACGACTTAAACTTCCATAAAATAACTTTTTTAGTATCTTCATGCTGGGTCCATGACCACTTGGTAATTTTAGTCGTGTGAACTGTGGTAGAACATTAAAACACTTTAAGATATAAACGGATTATATTTGAGACACCACACCAGTCATTTCTTTACACAACAGTACATCAAAACATTTAGCAACCGACAGCAGGATTACCAACATTACAAAACGTATTAGCCTATGTACAAAGCAATGTACCAATCCATTAGGCTACATCTTTATCACTAGATTACAGTGATATATATAATAATACAACAGATAGGTAGCATATCAAGCAGACAATCTAGAGCTGCTCCAGGACAGCTACTTACTGCCCCAGTTATCATTATAAGAGCAAACCTCTGAACTCCTGCTAAAGCTTTGACAGCTGCAGTAGATTCCATCTTTGGCCACCACACAAGCGAACCATATGTGAGGGCGGGTCGGACAACAGATACATACAGCCAGTGCAAAAGTCTGGGCTGTAACCCCCATTTTCTACTTACCATCCGCCTGCATGCCATAAGGTACCACTTGCCACGCTCAATAACTTTTTGAAGATGAGGTCCCAAATGAAGTGATCTGTCCAAAATTACACCTAGATACTACACCTGATTCTGCAGCTCTATTTCAGTGCCCTGCAGTCTTAGTGGGCCGATCCCATCCAGTTTCCTCCTTCTTGTGAAGGGTACCATTACAAATTTCCTGGGATTAATAGAGAGCCAAACTTTCTGACACCAACGGTCCACCACCCTTAAAGCTCTATTCATAAGGTCAGTTATGGTTCCGTGGAACTTTCCAACCACAAGGATTGCAACATCATCAGCGTAACCTAAGGCGAAAACCCAACATTCATTGAGGGTCCTTATAAGGTCGTCTGCTACCAAATTCCAAAGGATGGGAGAGAGAACCCCACCCTGGGGGCAACCCCGAGTAGTTCTTGCCTCGGTCGTGTCATTATGGAGTGAGAGCCTGACCTTCCTACTGTGAAGCAAGGATTCAATCCATCTACATATGATACCGTGAAATCCTCCAGCTCTCACCGCATTAAGAATTGTTGGGGTCAAAGTGTTATCAATAGCACCCTAATATCGAGAAAGGCACCCAGGGCCACTTCAATACTTTCTAGAGCCTTCTCAATCTTGCTTACAAGTTGGTGCAGCGCGGTCTCGCATGATCTTCCTGAGACATACGCATGCTGATTGTTATGAACAGGATTTGTCCTGAGAGCTGTATCCATCATATATCTTGAGACCAATTTTTCTAGGATCTTAAGGAAGAAAGAAGATAGAGAAATGGGTCTTAATGACTTAGGATCAGTGTAACTATCCCTCCCTGGTTTTGGAATAAATGCAATTCGAGAATTACACCACCCTGAGGGAATGTGTCCTAAGGCTAAGCTGGCTCTGAAAAGTTTACAGAGTGGGTGTATATTAGTGTCTAGCTCTTTCTGCAAACAAACGGGTCTTACCTCATCAGGACCTGGCGATTTGAAGGGTCGTATTAGACTAACATCTTACCTTGCTGAAGGTGACTGTGCGGCAAGCAGTGCTACAATGAATGGGTGGCACGACGGCCCAGATTTGGCCGCTCAGAACTCACCTCCTCCTGCTTCACTTCAGAAACAATACAACCAGGGAAATGAGTTTTTGTCATAACCTTTAGTATTTCAGTAGGTTCAAAACTCACCTCCTCCTGCTTCACTTCAGAAACAATACAACCAGGGAAATGAGTTTTTGTCATAACCTTTAGTATTTCAGTAGGTTCAAAAGCCATTACACCATCCAGTCCCTCATATATCTTCATATATCTCATATATCCGGCCCCAAGAGTAACATGCCTGTCTCTAACAAGAACCTTATGTATTCTAGAAGTGTCCTTAATACTTTCTAATTTACCACAAAAAGTATTCCATGAAAGCCTTTTGGCCTTTCGTACTGCATGGTTATATTCTGTGAGAACAATATGATATGTATCCCAATTGTTAATTTTCTTAGCTTGCCTGAAGTGGGCTCTAACTCTCTTCCTAAGAGAGGCAAGTTCGTCACCCCACCAGCTAGCCCTATTGCTCTTACCCTTGCGCAAAGGACAATTCTTAAAGGATGTAACTATGCACCTAGTTAGATGGTCTGTCGCCTCGTCAAGCGCATCGACTGTATTTATGAGAGATGTGTTCAGATTTGAGGCAATCTTGCCCCGAAGATCAGCTCTGAAGGAGGCCCAGTCGGTTTTACCTATGGGCTCCTGAACAAGCGAGCTTTGCCGCACAAATTCCCCAACCAAAAGTTGCAGCCTATCACGAGTTCAGCTCCAGACTCCTGTGCAAGGTTGACCATTTTTCTAACCTCGGCCGATGGGAACAATCCATCGTCGCCCTGTGGCATGTAAACAGAGGCCAGCAGCAGTATTGTGTCAGATTTAGCACATACAGTCTTAACTACTGTTACGTCCCTCGAACAAAGCTCTAGAACTGGATTAAATTTTAGCCCCTCTTTAACCCAAATGCAAGTTCTAGGGTGTTGTACAGACACGGAAATGATGCTACCCTTAATAGTACCCATTCCCGCAATTCTAAAGTTATTGACCCAGGGTTCCTGAATCGAGACAAAATCTAAGGACTGCTTAACCGTGCTCAGACAGAACAGAAACGAAATGACTATTGTAACTATTGTAAAGGTAAGTACAGTACTTTTTTTTCATAGGACACTAGGCACGAGCCTGGTATTGTTTTTCACATTACTTCAGGCTAGACCTAGGGGTTGCGGCATTGCGCTCTAACCACTACACCAGCTCGCTCCCCAAAAGGTAAGTAGGCTACTAACCACCACAATAATTTCAATAATCATGGCTAGGACAAACAATGCGATATACAAATTAATATTACCATTTCCGAAGGGCAAAGATGTGGATGGGTGTGTGTATGAATGTGTTAGTGAGTGTATGCGCATGAAACAGAATGTAAAAAAGGATAAAATAAAGCGTGTAAGAGATATGCTTGACAGGGTGGGAGGAAGTAAGGGAGAAACAATATCAATATTTTAAGTACTATATTGCTTTTACACCAGGGAAAAGTAAACGAGGTAAAGTTGTAATACAAATTTAATTACCATGCTGGTTTATGTGTGGGAGATCTTATGATGAAAATTGTGACCACAATATCAGTTGAAACACACGGATACAACGTACCAGTATCATGATATATTTCAATTTGAAAATTAAATAAACAAATTGTGAAAAACTAAATATGTTTAGCTATCCTTAGAGTACCTGCAGTAATTATATTATAATTTTGAATTGGTTTATGAAAAAATAAAATTCACACCACTGATATTGCTAATTTATGATATTCCGTGGGTACTTCAACATCTATATATATAATACGCTAATCTATATATATAATACGCTAAGCCGATTTTTGTGAACAGAACTCCTCCCTCATTTTTAGACCGATTTTGATGATTTAAGTGTCAAAAGAATTGCCCTGATCTGTAGTTTTGCAAAGTGTTTTTCGTTTTTTGATATCTTTATTAGTTTGGGCAGGATCTTCCATCAAAGTTGGATTTTCTCCCATAAGATTAACATGGGGAATCTAAAAATTTAATTGGAAACTTTGTCTCCACTAATTTGAGAGAATGGCTGGGCGTAGCAACTTGGTAGGGGTGTCAAAAGAAAGGTCTTGGTCTGCAGATGAGTTATCAGAAGAAAAACCAAGTACGGTAAATTAATTTAGGGCTCTGCCCCAGAAGCCTTTAAAGATCCCTCTACAGATTTGTTTACATTTTGGCCATGTGGATAATACTTTTTAATGAAACAGCTGTTAATTTGTAAATTGTATTTTAAACAAGACACATTAATTGGTAGTTACTGAATTGCATTGAATTGCAATGAAGCATTTTCAATGTTATTTTCTGATTTTAAAATAAATTTTATTCTGTATCATGTCATGTTTTGCAATATATAACGTTCTATTCTATGACGAAATCAGTGAAAAATCCTTTTATCACAGTAACTCTTAAAATTATTTCTTATTGACCTTATATATATTGTACGGTGACTGCCCTTTTCACCATTTTGTCTTTATTTTTAACATATTGTTCTAGACAGATCATCATAGGTTCATGAGATTATTTTCATACATGTTAAAGTTTTCGATCATTGGAAAAATATTCAACTGTGTAATACAATACAAAAAAAAAATAGCCTACAAGTGCAGAAGGGCACGGTGCCCATTTGAGCCGTGTCCATATTTGGTTAAATTAATAGTAGTTTACAGCAACTGGATAAAACATTTTACAATATTTATGTAGAAATATTTGCATGATAAAGAAAGTCATTAAGCTGGAAAACTGCAATATACTGCAGACTTTTCAGAGAGGTTACTTCGATGTATTCATTCAGCTTAGCGAAAACATAATATACATATGTATACAAATAAGAACTTGAATTCTTAGAGAGCCTTTGAATGTTATTAGAAAAGGGTTGTGCATGTTTACTAGCGCTACTCAGCAACCATTTAATTTATCTCTAAAATATATATTCTTAAAGTGCACTGATCAGCAGCAAAAAAATCTATCTAACTTACCCATATGTTATTGAAAATAACACAACATTTTGGCTGTAAATATGGCCCAATGAGTAAATAATATTTAAGAAGCTACTGCCATGACAGAAAGGTCATATTCCTTTTAAACTAGATCACATCATCCTTTACGTTGATACGTTAAGATACGCTGATTAACAA